ACATCGATGTTTTTTTAAAAATAGAAACAAATTGTTTTTTCTGTAAATTAAATTAATTTAATTGAAAAGATTTGGTTAATTTTATAACAAAATAAAAAGCTTTAAAAGCAAGAAAACAAAAACAAATTTAATGAGATCAAAATACAAATCTTATTCTATAAGTTTAACAGAACATGGTTTGGTTCTTATTGATACATGAGTTTAGCTACGACATCAACTTTAAGTCTGGTGCGACGGTCCGATATGATCTGTCCAGCCTTGTTGAAAGACCTTTCGGACTCGCACGATGTTGCCACACATCCACCGACGTTGCCTACACCACAAGTTGAATACCTGAAAACATCTAAATACAGTTAATAATTCAATTTATAAATATATTTTTGCACATACCTTCTGGGCTTCCCTTACTTTACTTACCTTGCAAAAACATCGATGGTCGCCATACAACATCGATGTTTCCAAAAATTTTAAAACATCGATGCATCGATGTTATTATCGATGTTTCTCCACCTCTACTTAAAAGTCGTAGCACTAACCATACAGTATATAGATGTGCCAGTTCATACAACGAAAGGGGCTCAAGCTGAGTGTTCTGTCCCGGCTCCCAGCGCTTCGGCTCTGTGAGGTTGAGACACTCGGGTCGGGAGCCAGGCCATTCGGGTCGGGAGCTGGGCCGTTCGGCATGTATGACTCATGTCGGGAAGGGAAAGAAAGCTGAGAATTGCAAATGTATGTGTGTAAACAGACACGACAAAATTTTGTATCAATTCTTATTTTCCGAAACCGTTTTGAGTTTGTTTTGAGTTTCGTTTCCAGGTTACGTAAATGTGTGTGTGCCATGTATTCACACATACTGTGCTTGTGTGTGGGCTCTACAATTGTTGGCCGCTTGAATTGGTTTTTCGTTTTGTTTTGAGGGCTGATGTGATGTAGCGACCTATTCAGGGCCGGATCAACCCTTAACCGGGCCCTGGGCAACCATCAATCTGGGGCCCTTCTTTATTTTGTATTTTTCTCAGTGGCTATTATATTTTGTATTCATTATTTGGAGTTTTGTTTTTTCAACAAAATTTTTCTGTTATTTCTAGGAGGGCCCTAGGCAACTGCTAATCCAGCCTGGACCTATTCCCGTCCTCAGACTTCATATTTTGTTGGTGTATTCTGTCGATCGACTCGACGCGGGCCGAGGCATTGACGAAGCCGAAAGAAGAGGTAAAGGCGAATGGAAGAAATACCCCGCGTGTCCGTACCATGAAGAGTCAACTGAAAATTGAACGAGCATTTGCTCCTCATACAACATCTCAACTCATGCAACCAACGGAAAGACTTCGGCCCAATAGAAATATTAGGGAATCGAAGTCACGTAAAAAGATATGGTGTGATATTTACTTGCATGACATCGCGCGCTGTACACTTCGAAATTTCCGAAGATCTATCGTGCAATGCCTTTATGAATGTTTTTCGAGAATTTGGATGTCGTCGAGGATTTCCTATAGTGCTTTATTCAGACAATGGCACCAATTTTAAAAAAGCAAGTAAGAATATATACGAAACTAACAGACCCGCGCGCTTTGCTGCTTACTAAATGCATTTAATGTTTAGAAATTCATCGAAATTAAACAATGATAATAAAAGGCGTTCAAATACACATTTTTAGAGCAAATTTTAGATTTTTTTTGATTAATTTTTAATTTCGGGGAACCTATTTATAGAAAAGTAAACTTTTGTATAGAAAGAATGCCATATACTCTGGCTACCATTTTAAAAATCCGCATGAAATTTGGTGCACGCGTTGCGGAGAAATAAATAAAATAGGCGTTCAGACACGCCTTTTTTAGACCAAATTTGATTTTTTTGTATTCATTTGTAATTCTTGATTAACCTATTTATAGAAAAGTACAAATTTGTTTGTTCAAACCAAGCCACAATCTCTGGCTATCATTAAAAAAAACAATGCAGTTTGGTGCACGCGTTGCGGAGATAGCCGCTTACACTCAGATTATTTTTCTACAAATTTGTAGTATAGATTACTACTAGTTGGCCCGAAGACAAGAAATGTCATTGATTTTTTAATCCTCCGTTATCTTCACATATGTGAGGAGCATGGGAACGTGAGACGTCAGAACGTGCGAGATATATGTAATTTATGATCAACAGTAGACCCCTAATATATATTCACTGATTTAACTGAAGTAGAACCATTGACACCAAATAGTATTTTGATCGGACCTAATTTTAGAGATTCATTTTACTCAAATGCTACCGAAAGAGATTTACAAACAATAAATATGTGGAAAGCATCCCAAAAGATAGCAGATTTTTTTTTTGCAAAAATGGAATTTATAAGAGACCAGTTATCAAGTTGATTAAATTATATGTATGCTCTAAGAATAAAATGTAATGTAAAAGTATTGTTACGTGTGACTACAATACATTAGGAGGAGAATGTTGTGAATTTTTTTATGTTTTACGTTAACACTTTAAGTTTTATTTGATACCGATAAATATCGATTATGATAATGTAACCACCACTTTATGAATTTTTATACCCGTACTCAAAAAAGAGAAAAGGGGTATATTAGATTTGTGGTAAAAGTGGATGTGTATAACGCAGAGAAGGAAACGTTTCCGACCCCATAAAGTATATATATTCTTGATCAGCATCAATAGCCGAGTCGATATAGCCATGTGTGTCTGTCCGTCCCGATGAGCGCCTAGATCTCAGAGACTATAAGAGCTAGGGTAACCAATTTTGGTTTCCAGACTCATGTGATATCCCACTGCTACAAGTGTATTTCAAAATACTGCCCCGCCCCCTTCCGCCCCCACAAAGGACGAAAATCTGTGGCAGGCACATTTTTAAAGATGCCCATATCTACCAGACTGCCGACTCTGAATCAGATCGGATCATAATTATAGCCAGAATGAAGAAATTAATTTTCAGTCGCTTCCCCTGCCCCTTCCTGCCCACGACAACACAACTCATTTTCCATCTCGCTCGCACACTCTGCCGCGTTCAGTGCGCGAGCAACCCCTAACGGAGGAGATGTAGAATCTAAATGGTACATGTATAATCTACATGTTAGATTTAGAATATACATAATATATGTAGATGTAGATATCAGATGTAGCAAAAAAATGTAAAATGTAAATTTTTTTTTTTTTAATTCTAAAAAATCATATGCTTAAAAATGTATATGCTGACTGAGTACGGGTATAAGTAGAGTCGCGTCCCCAGAAGCGACTCGCACGTTCCTTCTCGTTTAGTATTTAAGAAGTCTGTTAAGTGGAAATCCCCGAAAAAGGGAATGAAGTCAGAGTCGAAAATAAAGAGATCAAAAAATTGGTCGATCGAGCCGGATATTTATATTTATTTAACAGGTACAGATACACAACAGAACTCGTAATCTTAATCTTGATCAGCACTACTCGAGGTGACCCCAGGGATCACTGCAGACTGGACTCTCCCCCGCAAACAATTTGGGTGGAGGAGGGAGCCTCCCCTAAGCATCACCTTATCCCAATCCACCCTACCACCGCATACCCTACATTCCATATTAAAAAACTTACATTGAACAATTGGACACAAAGAGAGAAAAATTGTTCCCCATAGTGCCGTTGGGTATCCCTCACAATAGTACGAGCAGTTAGGAGCGGCGCTAAATGAGTTAAGTTAATTTAAAAACATGATACAAAAAATATTTTACGGGAAATCTTTCTATACTATACCCGGTACTCGATACTAGTGAAATATTAGTTTTGTGTTCGAAGTGAATGTGTGTAACGCACAGAAGAAGACGTTTCGAACCCATAAAGTATATGTATATATTCTTGATCAGTATCAATAGCCGAGTCGATATAGCCATGTCTGTCTGTGCGTATTGTTTGTCGCCTAGATCTCAGAGACTAAGAGCTGGAGCAACCAAATTTTGTATCCAGACATCTGTAATATCACTATATTACAAGTATATTTAAAATATTTCGCCCTGCACCCTTCCAAACCAACAAGAAAACGAACATCTGTGGCATCCAGAATATTGAAGATACGAGAATGACCATATCTACTAGATTGCTTAATTTGGTTCAGATCGTATTATTATTATAGCCAGAAGGAATCAATTAATTTTCTCTAATTGTGACGTTCTTTTCTAATCGCGCTATTCTCTTTTCAGCTTATCACACACACATGCAAGAATATGCCAACACCTATTAATGCCTTGAGTGTACTTCTTTTAAGTCGCTATCTTGACCTGCCTTTTTGCAGACTTCTTCTGTTTTCTGCCTACGCCAGTCTATGTCAGACAAAAACTGCCAACTGCTTACGATTACGGGAGTAACATTTATAATTCGTTTGTCCGTCTGTCGTCTGTCCGTCCGTCTCTCTGTACGTCTTGTTTGTCGCCTAGTTCTCAGAGATATCACACTGCTACAAACGTATTTCAAAAATTCGCCCCGCCCCCTTCCGCCCACCCAAAAGACGAAAATCTGTGGCAGCCACCATTATGAAGATACGAGAAAACTTAAAACGCAGTATCGGAGAGAATGACGATATCTACCAGATTTCCGAATCTGATCCGATTAGATCATTTTTATAGCCAAATTTAAAAAAATTATTTTCATTGCTTCCCCCACTTCCTCCGGCAAGAGGCCACGTTACTCATTCTCTTTCTCTCTCGCACACACTCTGCCCTGTGCAAGTCGCGACCTTTGCGGAGAAGATGCAGAATCTACATTTTGTATGTATAATCTACATTTTAGATGTGTAGACGTAGACAACAGATGTAGCAAACCAATTTAGAATGTAAAATATTATAAATTATACATAAATCATAAGCACACAAATTTATATACTGAGTGAGTACGGGTATAAAAGTAGAGTCGCGTCCACAGAAGCGACTCACACGTTCCTTCTCGTTTTTTCTACGAAGTTTTTCTATTTCGCGCGTGATGTATTCTAGAAATACATATGTTTATACATGTATGTATGTGTTTTGGCATACCTGCAAATGTTGAGCTAAACAGCAGGAAAAAACATGACAACTGCAAGTGCCATCTTCTTGGTTCCATTATTTCCAAATTTAAATCTTTCCGAATTCGAATTGGTATTATATTTGTTGTAAACACATTTTTTTCAGACATAAATTTTAGATTATACATATGTATGTTTGTACATACGGAAATATGTATATGCACATGTTCAGGAAAGATAATTATATACTATATGTAGATGTACATCATACATATGTATGTCAATATATTTCATACATTAATAAACTATATCACTGTTCCACTTGAAAACCTTGACCATCCATAACGTTTTTTGAATATGGAAGTGCATGCAAGTGGATACATACATATGTTTTTTTTCCATTATTTACATAGTTGTACATATATGTATGCTCCTTTTTTTATGTTTCGATATTTTAACACCTACATACAAACTATAAATTTACGTACATTGGGAAGTATTATTTTAAAATATTTGTTCCCACATTAACGTAGTTTTGTATGAAATATGTTGAAATATATTTACAAATATGTATATATCAACGCAGATATGAGCAATAGAGCAATATTTACTCAGTAGATATACTACTATATGTGCACACATATGTACTTATGGATGTATGTAGATATTTTCATGAATAACATATCCTCAATGTGTCGTAATTACAGGATGTACGTACATATGTATATAATATATGCATGTACACATCTTCAAAAAACTCTTAATATATATTTTAGTTTTTGTACATACATATGTACGTATGCACATGCAAAAAATGAGCACAATACTAATTGAAATTCACTTGATGTCTAAATAATACATAGCCCGGCTTCGAGAACTTTTTCTTTGAAATGTCAAACGGAGACTAAATTGACGTCGGAAATGTACCCAAACATACATATGTATGTACATTCATATGAATGTAGACATATCTCCTTATAACTCACGCAATCGCATTATGTAGGTCCCTTAACCTAAAAAAGGAAACATTCAGACACGGCCATGCAACATATGCAGTGTGTTTTTGTATAAACGCTAACTGCGCCCATTACAATGCAAACCAGGCCTACTAAAATTTCCCATTGCCCACTGGTCTCCGTCTCCAGGTACATTAATACGTAGTTGGTAAGGATATTACGATTTTGAACCGAACTTTGGAAATGAATTTTGATTGACCATTGTTTAGTTTTTAATTGATATTTCGCTCGATATTTTAAGCTTTGCAATTCTAATCCGTACATATTAACTAAAGTACTATTTATCTTCTGTCCCATGAATACTTCACCCAAATTGCGCAGAATTGCAAGGGTTGGCAGTTTGACCGAAGTGAGGATAGGAGTCGGCGGAAAAATCAAAGAAACAATTGCTCGGGGCAAAAATTAATGACACTGATTTTTGTTTATTGGTAATTTAAACATTCAATTCTTTAATGGGTTGTGACGGCATTTCGGCCGGGGTATGCTCGCAGCGACGGGGTTCACAGAAATTTATTTGATCTCGGGATGTGGTAGCTGAAAGAAAAGGTCTCCTGGTTAAAGAATAAGGCGACACGAGTACTTTTATTGATCTTAAGGGTACAGAGTTGTTCTGTTGTTGTTCTACGGAGGATCACTGGCTCGGCCTCGAGGTCTTCCTTCAGGGTCGTCAGGCCCGCACGTGGCTACTCGAAGCGTGCAGGTCGTATCCGGATCGGATACGGTCGTTGGCGAAGATCGGTCATGGAGGATAATGCGCTCCAAGGGGGTAACAGAGAGAGAGATGCGTTGCGGAGGAAATTGCGTTTATATTAGGTCAGCGATCATTGTTTTCGTGATTGTGGAATTCTTTTAAGTCGTTAAGATTGGCGACTTTGTACTTCCGGCTCCAAGGTTGTTGTAATTTGTCGATATTCGCTGACGTACTTCGGGTCCAAGCTTACGGCGAAGCCGTCCTCTACGTTTGATAGGTGATGTTGCCGTACCAGTTTTAATGAGCCCATCGTTAGAGACCGTTGTCGACGGCGGAGATTGTAGTGTCGTCCTTGTTCTTGACACGCTCTTTGAATGTGGTTCCCAATGATCGTGAATACCTCTTTGAGCATTGTTGCTTTACTAAGGGCGGTATCCGGAAGGTTTCCAGTCTCTGGCGTGACTCTCTTCCGTGTAGTAGGCAGGTATAAGCTCATCCCATGTGTTCTGGTGACCAATTCTACGAATTGTTTTGACTGTCCTGTTTGACGGGTAGGGAGGGATGAAACAACGGCCAGCCACTTGGAGAGGGGCCCCGGACCGACCACGAAGGCATAGGGACGCACCGGACCACCCCGCGCGAAGCATTGGCAGCTTATGCAGCCGTGAACATATTTCCTTACATCGGACCAAGGCTGGACCAATAATATCGTTGCGATACTATCATACTGTCAGAACAAGACCCTCCGAAATATCTGTGGTGCTGAATGGTATGTCCGTAATAGAGACATCGCCAAAGACCTTGGAGTCCCCTCAGTCGGTGAAATTATTACGGACAAGCCACAAGATACTTGACCAAACAAACAAGCCACACGAACGTCCTCGCTAAAAGATTGGTGCACAACCAGGCGAAGGTTAAACCGAATCCATACGTCCGACTTGGCCACCAGGAACATATAAAGTATTGTTGCACAATCTCCGTTTTCGTCCGCTGGTCCCACATTTAACTTAAAATAGTAAATTGTAAATAGAAATTGTCCTTGACCCTCGTCTAAAATTTCAACGCGAGATAGACGGTTATCACGTCAAATCGGTATCCCTCGAGGTAGCATCGCAGCTTTCGGGTTGCTCAAATGACGGCCACGTATTCCTTGTCGGTTGCGGCGTAGTTTCCTTCGGTCTGGGTTAAGCGTCAGCTGACGTATGCGATGACTCGTTCCTTTCCCTCGATCTCCTTAGTTAGGACTGCGCCTACTCCTAAGTTACTCGCATCTGTCTGCAACGGGAACTTGCCGTTCAAATCAGGGCCAGCAAGTACAGATGCGGTCGTGAGCAGTTCATTGAGTGGCTCAAAGGCAACCTGTTGTTCAAACCTCCGGTGCCAGGATGCCATCCCGATGCATTGCAGGTTCGCGGGTGGCCTGAGTTGCTTGACGGCGGAAATCATGTCGGGGTCCGTGTGGATGCCTTCTTCGGTGATCATGTGGCCAAGATATTTTTTATACGGTTTTTTTTGTATCGAGTTTTCTCTCTAATAGCCTGACGACAAGTAGGTAAATCTGATATATTTATTTTATTAATTACACTTAATTATTTAGAGTACGTCCCTACCTAAGTATTATTGCTGGGTGGGGAGGTCTCTTCGCTGGAGTCGTGTATGGCTAGTGTGCCAAGTTAAAGACTGCGCAAGTCTATTCGGATGGGCCTGAAGGTTACTTTGCTTTCACCTTGGCAATTTAATCTTCAACTGATCCTACATTTAAGTCTTTATGGATATTTTCATTCCGTATGTACCATGGTGCCCCAGTGATAGTTCTTAGTATCTTCGATTGAGCTCTCTGGATTATTTCTAAATTACTAACGCAAGCATTTCCCCAAAGCTCGGAGCCGTATGTCCAGATGGGTTTGAGAACTGCATTGTACAAAAGTACTTTGTACTCCAGTTTTAGTGGTAAACGGGTGTTTATTAGCCAATGTAGATTACTAGTTTTAAATTTAAGTAGATTTCTCTTCGCTTCGGTGTGTTTACGCCAAGAAAGCCTTCTATCCAGATGAACATCAAGTTACACCATAGGATAGCCGCGAAGAATAGTTGTAGCCTATAAAATATAAATTATGAAGTATCACAGCTATGTCGGCTATGCTGCGGCTGCGGCTATTCTTAGGGTTCAACTAAGAAATACCGCCACTGTAAATTAATATTAGCAAATGTAACTACACGGCCGCAGAATAGCCGACATAGCTATGCGTGGGAATAAACCTATCGTAAAATTAACGTCGTTTCGCACGGTTTACTCTTTTTGATCGACTTTATCGCCGCCTCAGCTCTGGTTCGTCCCGATAATCCGCATAAAAGGCATCCGCATTAATGTGCAATTTTCGTTTCGAGATTTCTACATGGCGCCCGAGGAGGGACTTTGGGATTAGTTTCGCAAAAACCAACCTCAGAAGGAAGATTACCAAAATCAATCCACGCTTTGAAGACCACCATACCGACACCGAAGCGGAACATGGACATTGAGTTGACAACGCCAAGGTAACAATGCCAAAGCAATAGCGGCTAAAATAATAGCGGATAATACCTATTGGCTTGGCCTTGAACAGTGTCATGCATATACATTCACCTACCGTTTGACTATTCGTGTGTAGCTGGGTAAATCGAGAAGAGTATTATAAGGGGCCAACGCCATAGCTTACCGCTTGTTTCGCAGGTTGGGCTGCATTATTTCGGATTTTGTTTCGTTCGCTTAGAAAACATTGACCCTTGCAGCGGTAAGTTAATTGTTGCGCTCTTTAAGCTCTTACAGCATACGGTTCTCTTAAGTTCACGTTCGTGCAGTACACTCGTCGGAACTTTGCTCCCGCAGCTTCGTGGTCATCTAACTCTCCAACTGGTGTCGTCCAGCTTGTCGCTGTGACGAGAGCTGATCAGCCGCTCTTATATTGTGCCAATCAATTGAAACATCGTTCGCCAATTCGTTTTCGGGTCGAACGCTGTTCTAATTTAGGTATTTGTGTGCGTGGTGACTCTAACTGGTGTTGCCCAACTTGTCGTTCGTGGCGAGAGCTCATTCGCTCTTACATTTTGGATTAATTGAAACATTGTTCGCCACTTCGTTTTCGGGTCGAACGCTGTTCTAATTTAGGTATTTGTGTGCGTGGTGACTCTAACTAGTGTCTCCTAACTTGTCGTTCGTGGCGAGACCTGATCATCCGCTCTTACATTTTGGATTAATTGAAACATCGTTCGCCACTTCGTTTCGGTTAGAACGCTGTTCTAATTTGGGAATCGAGTGCGTTACGCGCATTAGAATTACGTTGCTCATATTGGTTCGAATTTGGTTCGAGCTTAGTGTGTCAAGCCAAACTAATGTTGGTTGCGTACGCTTAGCTTAGCGTTGGGCGTCCGTTTCGTAGCGGATCGAGCTTGGCTCGCCGTGACAGAACTCGGTTGTGTTTGAACTGTTTTCGTTCGTTGTCGCATCGAACCTAACACGTTTATACGTGGGTACCAAATTTAGGCGCACTGTCGAACCATGTTC